GTGTGTGTGTGTGTGTGTGTGTGTGTGTGTGTGTTGGGCGTGGACATTCTTAGCCCTTCAGTTTATGATTAGTTCGGGGACCTGCAGCCAACTCTAACACACACACATGCAACATTATGCAACAGCTGAGCAGGCCAGCGTTCAGCATAGTGCCCCATCATCATCATCATCATCATCATCATCATCATCATCATCATCATCATGTGTTCCTGGACCTGTCTCTGCTACACGTGCTCAGTCATGATGTCATGGTTACAGGAAGCTGACCACTCCTTAGAGACGACGTCAAACCCTCAGAACAGACTCCGATTGCTGCACCTCGCCCAGCAATCACAGAGCCTGGGAACTGGTTCCACTGAGGCTCTTACTGCTCTTACTGGTTCTAATGCATTCACTGGTGTCACTGGTCTTCATGGTTTTGTTAGTGGTCACTATGTTGTGGGATGTTACAGCCCATTAAATTACTGTTTTAATTGCACATCTTTCCCCCACATATGGGTCAGCAGGGACTTTCCTCGTCTTCTAGGAGACTCAGGCCCCGTTTACACGTAGCAAAAATGGTGATATATTAATGCGTTTTGGCCTTTGGTTTACACGTAAATGAAGCTACAAGTCACCGAAGATGATCATATCTTGGTTCAGGTTCAAATCCACCCATCATGTTTCATTTAATACATTTTCAGGGTGATGACTCCACCAGAGATTTAAAATGCACTTATTCACTACAAGAGGTTGCTGATGTAACCCTATCCCTAACCCTAACAGTGATGACAATGGATAGGGTACCTACTGAACTACCAGAAGGTGGAGGAGGTCTGTCCTTTTTTTTTTTTAAATGATTAAATTAAATAAAATTAAATTAAATTGAATTTTTTATTTTAGTTTATTAGTGCTTGGTTGTCTTCTGTCTCTAAGTGTAGCCCTGCGATAGACTGGCGACCTGTCCAGGGTGTTCTCTGCCTTCGCCCTAAGTCGGCTGGGATAGGCTTCTTTTAATTTGTGTTACTTTTTTAACCATTTAAAACAAATGCAAATTATTTACATTCATTCCAGGTTTGATATTCTAAAGCCAAAAAGTTGTTTTGGTTCATCACATACTTTCTACAACGAACTTTAACCATCAGTATCATGGAATATATCATAAGTTTATTAACAAAACTGCACCAGTTTAGTGTCTATGGCATAGGATAATGACAACAAGCATTGATAACCTTAAGGTCTTATTTGATTTCTTGAAGTTCACCTGAGAAAACTTTTTTTAAAGTGCATTTTGGTTAGGAAACTGTTATAAACAAGTTCGAGCAAATGAAACCACCCATTTTACCTATATTTTGATACCAGCCTCATCTTCCAGCCATGATTACTTGTGTGTCAAAATCATTTTCTAAGATAGGCATATTTTGACACAAAATGTTCAGTTTGAGATGGTATTTACTTAAGAAACTGAAACCATGATGTGTGAGTGAACACTATACATGTTTCGAATATGTACAAAGGTGTGGTTTGCATGATGTGCTGATGTCATGATTCATATGCCCAATCCTAATAATAATGATGTCAGAAAAATGGTATTTCCCAACTGCTCATCATGAGCATGTGAAGCCTAACCAATGCCATAAAGTTAGTCTGGGAATAATATTCGAAGAGTCGACACCCAACAAGCATCATGACAAAACATCATCGTTGCTCTCAATCTGACAATGGAAACAGGCCGACCACACAAACTCAAAGAGCAGTGGAATTTGAAAGACCCTCAAATAAGCATTGAATGCTCCAAACTTGTTTTGATCAATGTGATTTGCACACACTATTAAATATAAAATGGGAACACTAATGTTGCTTCTCCATTTTCTCACATATTGTCATACGAGCTACATTTGTAAGTGGCACAGAGGGAATCATGGCAGAAGTAAAAATGAGACCTTTTATTTGCTAGAACTTGTTTTGACCAACCACCCATCACACATAATGATACGGATCTTGAAAATGTACCCAAAGTGCATGTTTTAGAGAACACAGTTAACACAGCCAGTGCATCAAAGCTTGTTTCTTTCTACACTACAGTTGCCCTCAAATGTATTCATACCCTTCCATTAAAGAAAAGGTAAAATTCACAATAATCACTCAAATAACTAGACACTGAAAAAAGCAATAATAAATAATAATTTTTTAAATTATAATTTTGAATTGTGGTTGAAAAGAATAATTTAAAAAAACAAAACTGTCCCAGACAAATTAGAGCACTCTGCTGATGAGCAGTGGGCCAAAATACCTGTCAACAGGTGCAGAAGTCTGACTGAGAGTTACAGAAAACACTTGATTGCAGTGATTGGCTCAAAATATCAGTTTACGGGTCCCATCATGCTTGTTTGCTTGTATGTTGTTTTTTAAAAAAAATATTTCTGTTGAACCACAATTCAAAAGCAATGTCACGATTTTCATTAAATTTTTATTTATTATTACTTTTGTCCATTTCAACTTATTTCACTTTTTTCATTCTTTATTGGGAGGTTATGAATACATTTGAGGACGACTGCATGTCATTGAAAACTTACTCCATGAAACTGATGCTCAAAGCTGATTATACAAAAAAAACCCATTTAGAAAAAAAACAAGATTTTGTCTCTGGATTAGATGCAGAATTGATTTGGCTGCAGATTTTAATAGGGCTCATAATGTTATCAGCCTCTAAAATAGTATGTGGCTATCCCTTTTAGTTACGAAGTTCTGAGGGAAATTTCAACCCCTATGTACTTTGAGAGTCAGAAGATAGCATTTGCACGACTTCATTAAATACGCTAAAATTATTCAACAAAAAAGGGAGTCAGATGGAAGGCATTCATTCTTTTTTCTTTCTTTTTTTTTGTTAACAGAATGTCCCTATTAAAAAGGATTTTCCTTTTTCTGTGGGAAAATTCAATTCAATTCAATTCAATTCAATTCAATTTTATTTGTATAGCGCATACTTACAGCAACAAGTCATCTCATAGCGCTTAACATAGGCAGAAACACACAACAATCCAAAACATTTGAATTCCCTATAAGCTTCAGCAGTCCACAAGCAGTCTGCAACAGTGGGAAGGAACTGAAAACCCCCACGGGGGAAAAAAACCTCCGACAGAACCAGGCTCAGGGAGGGACGGCCATCTGCCTCGACCGTTTGGGTGAGAGTGGGATGAATTATACAATTTAGTGTACAGTTAAACAAGTTATTAGAAGTTATTGTCCTTTTGTAACAGGAGGCATCATGGTGGAGGCAGCAGGATGCAGAAGGCGTTTGAACATCACTGGGTGATGGTGCTGCAGCTGAAGTAAATACCGTGTCTGTTATCACATTTGTACAAGTCATCAGTGAGTTGTTTTTCTCTTTTCCAGTGCCTTTCATATCAGAAAGAGTCACAACACAGAAAAAAGGGGTTGGATTCAAAATGAAAACCCCTGGACAACCTTTTCTTTTTTTTTAAAGTAAAATTCTGGGGGGTTTTCTGCTTTCGTTTGTGCAGCATAGCAAAGATAATCCACGTTTCTGCACATCTGCAAAGTGGATTTGAAGAGAACTTTTAAAATGCCACAAAAAATGACCAGAAAATGGTTTGAAGCTACACCTTATATGTTTCTTAAAATGTTGTATGTTGCTCAACGCCTCACATGTTATGTTTAGAAATATTCAAGATACATCCGAGGGTTCTTCGTATTTTGAACTCAGGCAGGTGACTGGTTGGTTATGACTTTTTTTTTGTTGAGTGATTGTGTGGAAAAAGTTGACATAAGTAGATTTCCTACATCTACTTAACAGGACTGTCATCCAAATAATGGAACCCAGTTAAGTAAAATAAAATGACACTTAAATTCAATTAAGTTGAAACTACAAGGTGTGGTTTAATTGGTCTTACTAAATGCAGTTGAGTACCAGAGGGCTCACAGTGAAGCTACATTTACATAAGTGAGTTAATTCACTGTAATGAAATATATTTATGTTGTTATTAATCAACACATTAAAAAAAGGCGAAAGAAATAATATTATGTTGGATTAATGTTTGAAAGTTTAGTTAGTTGGACAATGACCAATTAATTAACTACTACTTGAGCAGTAAATGTTGAAATTACTTAATGCTGTCTTTTAGTTTGCACATAAGTTAGATATTGCCGCTAAAGGAATTTAAAAGTCATTTCATTGGATCGTTAAATTCCAAGACGAGAAAACAAAAGCCTGACAGAGTTGAAAAGCAGCTTGGCGGTGCTGATCTGCAGAAAATCCCCTCAGACTGACTTCACTCCTACAGGAAACAGAGCAGCTGAGGCAGATTGCATCACCACATGTTTCTCTTACTGTTATATGACTACGAGCCTGGAGAGCAGAGAAGCTTCAAGAGCCAACAGAGTGGACGGGAAGCTTTGTTTGAATAACACTTGAAAAATAAATGTACAGAAAGAGATGCAAGGACAAACAGATGAATGTAAAATTATGCAATAAAAACAAGGTGTTGTAGAAGTAGAAAAGTCAGCTTGTTTTAACCAAAAAATATTCTAAAATGTTGATTTTTCTGCAGTAAAATATAGGAAAGTTGCAGCTTAAGCACATAACTATGAACTAAAAATGGTTTCTGCGTGTGTTTTTTTTTTTTTTTTGCTCCTGTAACATTTTTCTTCACTTCGGGTTCATTTGTCATTGCAATATAAAGTCCTGCACCTCTATGGAAACAGCACATCCATAGATGAAGGAGAAGCAGAGAGAACTTGAACATGTCTTCTGTGCAGTGACACAGGTGTAATGCCATAAAAAAGCTTTCTTAGATTGCTTATTTAACAAACACTGGAAAAAAATGAAATCAACATTTTTTCAAGAGGCCACAAAATGGAGGTTTATCATACTATAACTATTTAACTATTTAGATTTTTCCAACTGCTACAAACCTTTCCACTCAACTCTGCACATCAGCTCTAGAGAGATTTATTTTCCTCGGTCTCTCTTGTCGTCTTCTCTCTGCTTTGTGGAAACATAGGCAGGAGTTCACCTTTAAACTCAGGTCGTGAAGTCATGGCTTCTCAACTACCGTGATGAGCTCTGAACTTTTTTGTGATTTATAGGACTCTTTATTTTTGCTAAACTA